CTCGTTTCCCCCTTGTTACCCTACTATTACCCCTTCTAGCACTTTCTATTACAGCATGTAATAGAAAGTGTTACCAAAAACACATTTAAAGTATCAGAAAAAAATAGTGTATGCATTATTATACAGGGATTCCTGTAACTCCATATTTTTTTTATTTTTGAACTAGAGTAACTTTGCATCACTCACAGCTCAAAAAAATCTCATTCTGACCAGTCTTACGGTCCCTTAGTTATTTCCTCTGTTTAAATAAGGCATTTTAACTCTTCTCTCTTTAAGTTATCCTACTTCTGATTGACTGCCCCTCTTAACCAGAAAGCATTGGTGTAAAGCTATGTGCCTTAGATGACCATATTAGGATGCATTATATGGACAAAAGTAGAGGGCTACCTACACGTTACACCTACAGGAGCTGTTCAGCCATGGACACCCCCATGCCATGGAGCTCTCGGGACACTCTGAGGAGGCTGCATCAGCAGGGCGTTGGTGAGTTTTAGACACCACACGCCTCAGCACGCAGTGACTACACTCTATAAATGTATGTGGTCTGCCACTTTGTGGCTGCATTGCTGAGGCTCTTAGATGGTGTCATACTTGCAATGATAAGACCTACAACTGATCATGCAGGGAAGAAATTTCACAGGTTGACATGTTGCAATGATGTCATCTTATTACTGTATCAGTCTTGAATTCAGTAAGTGCCATATAACGTTTCCTCTCACTGTCATCACATAGCATCTTAAGACTAGAAAGTGAGTTTAGCTCTATTCTGTTTTGTTCTGGCTTGTTCCAAATCACAAACTGAACTAAGCTCTAAGGTTGCTGAATGAATATATTTTAAAAACACTTTTTGTGCAGATAAAATGACTGGAAATGACACGAGTATGCAAAATATATTGAGGTGTTGTTTCCCAATCTTGCTTTACTTCTAGGAATTATTTCTTTTTCTCTTTAAAAAAAATACTTTTAGTAAGTTTCATTTTGCTGTGCATATATAGTTAAATAATGTCATATGTGAACATCCAGACTCACGAGCAGAGTTAAGGCCACCACAGATTAAAGCCTCTTAGCGATTTAACACTGCAGAATGGTGGGCTTCTGCACATGCTCACATCTGGAATTAGATCTTTCTACTTGTGACAGGGAAAAAAATTAAAAGCACATGCATCATTTTTAAGTGTTACCTTATGAGCTTTATCAGCAATTTAAAAAGAATAACAAGAAATTATTTAAGTTGTTTTAATACCGGTAAAAATCTTAACATACATGGCTTAAAATAGCAGTCATGCCTAAAAAAAGCAAATACGAATGACAAAAATACTGGACTGTTTGGCTACAGTGTGTACACAGTGTATACAGAAAAAAAGGCATCGGTTCCTGAACCACGCAACCAGTTTCAGTCTGTCCACACCTTAAAAAAGCTGTCTGACAGCTCACACAACCAAATGGACAAACACCATTCCTGAAATGAACTTTTCTACACAAACTTACAGGAAAACACCTTCACGCACTCTCTAAAGCTCCCAAACACTTGTTGCATAATGTTTTGACATTTCACTTATCA